ATATCAAGAAGGGTTAAGTAGTGGCATAATTTTGGGAAATCAAGGAAGTTGGCAGCTATGTTCCATCTACTATTTAATCTGCAAACTGTATCACGATTGGAAGATTCTCATTTGTAGGATTACTTTCTCCCTTGGTACCTTCTTTGATATATTTCTACAAGACAAAATATGTTTTAAGAGTTTTTCGGAACAATTGCTTCTGTCTTGTTCCAGCTCTAAACTGAATTTTGGGCAATGCTGTGCTTTCACTATAAATTTTCTTGTGTCAATGTGACTGGAGAGATAAATCTGACTTGCAGCTCTAAGGTAGGTTTTGCCGCCAAATGAATAATGATTTGGAGGATGGCCTGATCAGCAATCACTGTCAATGTTTTATTGAGAGACCAGGCTTCAAAATGGAGACTAGCAATTTTATTTGTCACATGATTGTGGCAAGATGCAACCGTTAAATTGTTTGTCACCATAATAGTACCTTGTAGCTGTCATTTCATGCATGTTTAAAATGTAGTTACATGACTTCTTAAAATAGGATAGATGTAATATGTACAACAACAACAAACCAAGTGTAATCCTACGAGGGAGGTCTGGGGAGGGTAATGTATACGCAGACTTTACCCCTACCTTGTGAGGGTAAAGAAGTTGTTTCCGATGTAATATGTGTCTCGGTTATTTACATTAAGTTACCTTTTCCAAATAGTCTCATAGCAAATATAACTGTATTATTTCATATATCTAAACCATTGCAAAAATTGATGGTATATATTGAGACATACTATATAATACACATGCCAAGTATACATAACATTAGGTGCAGTTCAACGGTGCATAAAATATTAATTTCATTAAAAGCACTTGTCCCATATGCAAGAGTTCAAGATTCATATACTGTGATCAATCACTTATTCGTATTAATTCCATGCATAAAATTATGTGGGAACATGTTATTTCAGTATAAAACAAGCTATGAAAGAGGTTATCACTCATAGTATTTCTGTCAAATTTCGTGTAAACAAGTCCAAACCATCAAACTGAAAACATGTTAGAAGGTCGAATTATTAGCAAACAACGTCACTGAGATCATATATTTCAATGATTCTCAATCTCAACTCTAATCATGTTGTGTTGGACCACATTCTTCTTCTACTTCTACTTCAGCCCAACTTAAAGACATAGGCCGACTGGCCCATAATGAAGACAACCCGGAAGACCCCTACTTATATTTATAATTGTAACCTTGTTTAGTAGTAGCCATTCTTTTACACATATAGCATTCTTTACATTATATATATATNAATAAAATTTTCCCTTTCTCTCTCTCAGAACTAGGGTTCAAATTTGTTCTCTTTTCAAATTGCTTCAATTACTAGATTGTAATAAATCATGCATATTACGATATATAAATATGCAACGTAATAAAAGCGAGTCATGTGGTGTAGTGATCAATCATATTACGACTTTAAGCGTGGTGTAGTGATCAATCATATTACGACTTTAATCTCGCTTACGCTTGTCTCTAACGACCAATCTCAAACAAATTCTCCTACAATTTAGGGGAAGAGACATCAAATAGGGAACTCCAAGCCCTTATTAGGTTCATAACTTAAGTATGCAGTGTTTATGAGTTGGTTGTATAAGAAAAAATAAATCCTAATAATATTATCCTACATTTTTTTTATGTGCCTAACGTATCTTGCCCCTTTTAGGAACTGAACAAGTACGAACTATCATAAATACGACAAAGGATCAAATATACCCCTTTACTTTCGAAAATGCTTTAAGAATACACATCGTTATACTATTGGGCTATATATACCCTTCCCGTCATACTTTGGAACAAATATACCCTCATTTTGGATGGAGTACCACGTGGCAGCACCAGATGAAAACGACCAATTTTTTTTACCCGATCCGTTTTTAAAAAAACCCACAACCCGACCCGTTTTAAAATTCAATTTTTTTTCAGTTTTTCTAAAGCATATATTTTGTAAAAACTAGATTTTTTTTTTTGTAAAAACTGGAAAAAAAGAAGAAGAGGAATTTGCACAATATATATATATTATTAAGTATTTTCAGTTTTTTTAAAGTATTTTTTTTTGTAAAAATTGGAAAAAAAAAAAAAAGACTCTCCTAAAGCAATGGATTAAATATGCATTAGTTTTAAAAAAATAAAAATATTTTGTAAAATCTTTTTTTTCCAGTTTTTACAAAAAAAAAAACTTTAAAAAACTAAAAAATATATATTTTGAAAATTCCTTTTTTTTTTTCAGTTTTACAAAAAAATATTTTTTTTAAAAATGCTTTAAAACTGAAAAATATATATTTTGTAAAAACTGAAAAAAAAACAAAAAAAAGGAAGTTGCAAAATATATTTTTTTCAATTTTTTAAAGTATTTTTTTTTGTAAAAACTGGAAAAAAAAAAAGATTTTGCAAAATATTTTTATTTTTTTTAAAATTAATGCATATGTAGTCCACTGCTTTAGGAGACTCTTTTCTTTCCTGTTTTTATAAAAAAAATACTTTAAAAAAATTGAAAAGACTTAAAAATATATATTTTGCAAAATTCTTTTTTTTCTCTTCAGTTTGTACAAAAGTAAATTCCAGTTTTTACAAAATATATGCTTTAAAAAACTGAAAAAACTGAATTTTAAAATGGGTCGGGTGGTGGGTTTTTTAAAACGGATCGGGTAAAAAAAAATGGGTCGTTTTCATCTGGTGCTGCAACGTGGCACTCCATCCAAAATAAAGGTATATTTATTTCAAAGTATGACGGGAAGGGTATATATAGCCCAATAGTATAACGAAGGGTATTTTTAGACCATTTTCGAAAGTACATGTTTATATTTGGCAAAGGATAATTCATAATATAACTCCATTTCAAAATAATATACCAGAAGTAGAAAGATTAATCAGAAAGGAAGTTAGAATATTCCAAATTAGTTTAGCATAATTAGATACACAAAGATTGAAGAATAATTATGACATACTTGACATCTTTACTTTCGGTTAGAAGGAATAACACGTAGCCTTATACGAATTCCGAAGTAGCACTTCGAATTTTATCCCTGACTAATGACTAAATTAAGTACTAGTGTACTAATATTTATATGACGATAACCACCTCAAATATTTTAACTTATCCAGTTTATCAAAACTGACGATCTAAAAAAGGTCTAGTAGCTGAGGTTTTTCACTTTTACAACTTGTTAAATGAGGATTAGCATCTTTTCGTCTAGTTAACAATAATCTTGAATGATGTCAACAGATTTTAATACCAAAACACAATATTGACAGTACGTTATGATTATATTATAAATTTATGATCCAACATTCCATGCATCAGACCCAAACGGATAGGATTTATGATCCAAAAATAATACTACTGATTGGGGTGGGGGGTTATTTTCAGTAGTGATCCTTTTATTTGAAGTTCATGGAACCTTACCAACTTTATGGGGATCACTTTGTAAAGTTAACCCAAAAATAGAACTACCTAAAATTTTATTATGGATATTCTTACACGATCTAAACTACATAAGATTCTAGGTCATAGTTTCGATGTGAATTCTTTCTTTAGTAAGCCTATCTCTCTTTCGATATAATGTTTACGTACTCCTTTTTAGAAGAATGATGGCTTTCAATGTGCGAGCTAGTATCGAAATAAGTTGTCGTTGTGAATTTAAATATCTTATGTACCTTTTTATTTTTTTAAAAAGGAAAACATCCAAATATATATACCCCTATGTTATTTGTATTACTTTTATAGTTATTTATTATATTGGTCCATAAAAGCCGTCATCATTATCTTTAGTTTCAAATATGCCCCTCCCACTTACGGGATTGTGAAAAAATAGGTCTAATTTGGCTGATAAGGCGTATTGTTCAAGCGTCTTACAAATTATTACAGAGTTTATATATAAACCAATTTGATAGTTTAAAATCAAGCTAACGAAAGAGAGAACTGTTGTGTTGAAAATGCATTTCTGAAAGAGCACTGCATATCAATCCACAAAGGATAATGTTCTATAGGGAGATCTGCATTAGAAAATATGTTATTAGAAGCAAAAGTAGAAGCACACAAAAATTTCAGGAAAAAATTACAATTTAATCGACTATAGGATTATTAGATTAATTGTCATTTTTATGTTATTAATCCAACTTCTAAAGAGTTTTACCCATAAAAAAATTAACTTTTTAAATAATTTTGATAGTGTAAACGAGTTTTACACTGTACATAAGTAATTATAAAACTTTATTGTCTTTTATTACTGCCCGTTAGTATTTGGTGTCAGCAAGGAAAAATTTCGAAGTCAGATTGTAAAGTATATTGCGTCGTCCTTTTCGTTGCTCGATGGTAATTTGAGACATTTCAAGTTTTATAGTACTAACTTTTTATCCTTCTTTCATCATTGTTTTGACATGTTGCTTTCTTTAGTTTAATATTCTGCTTTTTCTTATATTGATTCGTCATCAATATTAAAAGTAATTAAGATCTTCCCAAAAAATTTAAGAGAAGTAGAAGGATCTAAATCCAACATGCATCGGTCATCTTTCAGTTGCTAACACTTTTGTCCCCACCAAATTAAGCAGATTATACTTATCCCATGAAAACTCAATGCACCGTCCGCCCCCTAATTCCTCTCTATCAATTAGTCCTTTCCCTAAGAACATTCTCCCCACAACCACCTCCTCTTTTGCCTTGGGATAGTTCCGTTAGGAACTATAAATTTAGCCAAAATGTGAGTATAGTATTCCACAACACAAATATATTATACAAAACTAACCGCAGATTTGCAACATATATAATATAATGCACTGCCCAAATCAACTACTTTTAACCAACCACATGCATTTTGGACTTGCAATGCCTAATACTAATTGGCAGTGCAAGTCTAAAATTAGTTATGTTCCGAGCAGTAGTCTAAAATTGAGTACTGCTCGGAGTATCAAGATCAATAATTCCGACCATAATTGCCACGTTGTTGACGACAAAGACAAACTCGGAGAGAGGTGGATGGAATTTCAAGGAATCAAGGATTGGGATGGTTTGCTTGATCCACTAGACGATGATCTTCGCGAAGAGATTCTAAGGTATGGAGAGTTCGTCGAAGCAGCCTATTGCTGCTTCGACTTTGACACGTCATCATCCACGTATGCAACCTGTCGGTATCCGAAAGGTTCCATGCTGACACGCTGCGGACTTGGCCAGAGCGGGTACAAGGTCTTAAAAGACTTGCATGCCACGTGTGCTGTTCAAATGCCACGGTGGACAGAAAGATTTCCTAATTTGGTGTCGCCGCGATCCAGCTGGATTGGTTACGTGGCGGTATGCGATGACGTGGACGAGATTGCCCGGCTAGGTCGCAGAGACGTCGTGATTGCTTTTAGAGGTACTGCCACTTGTTCAGAATGGCTTGAAAATTTACGTGTCACGTTAACTTGCTTGCCTAATGACATGACACCTGAAAATAGTGAACCCATGGTACAAAGTGGACTCTTGAGTCTGTACACTTCGAAAATAGAAAGCAATCCAAGTTTACAAGATACAATAAGAAAAGAAATTGCCAGCATTCTCAGTAATTATAGTAATGAGTCTCTTAGCATAACAGTCACAGGACATAGTCTTGGAGCTGCCTTAGCTACACTTACTGCATACGATATAACAACAAAATTTAGTGATTTGCCTATGGTAACAGTGGTATCATTTGGAGGACCTAGGGTTGGTAACAAGAGCTTTAGGTGCCAATTGGAAAAAAATGGTACAAAGGTACTCCGAATTGTGAACTCTGATGATCCCATAACAAAAGTTCCTGGGTTCGTGATCGATGACGTGGCAAGCCGAGGAGCAGCCACGCTGGCAAGATTGCCAATCTGGCTTGGAAAGTACATGGAAGATACTGTATGGGTGTATGCTGAGGTGGGGAAGGAGCTTAAGTTAAGTAGCAAAAGTTCGCCTGATCACCTCAGCAAAGGAAATGTAACAAAATGTCACGATTTGAAGACATATTTGCACTTGGTGAACAATTTTGTTAGCTCATCGTGTCCCCTAAGGACCACCGCTAAGAAAGTAGTATTAAAGAGAAAACAACGTGAAAGAAAAACAGCAATAGATTTAGTTTGATGAATTTTCTATAATTAATCCGTAGAATAAGAATAAGAATACAACATTGTTTTACCATTTTTTTGGGTTCGCCATATTCCCATCGGTGGCCATCCTGAGAGACGGCTTTACCATTATCTTTTAAGAAAGCCTTCCCCCCTCATTGTATATCATTGATGAAGAAAACGATATTTTTATTGTATATATGAAGATACATGAGTTACTGAAAGCCAGACATTATATTCTCAATTATTTTCTCGAGTAATCCTTATAGCAAATTGTAAGTTCATTGTCTAAAAGTGAACTCAGAGCGTATTAAGATTTTTCATCGAAGCGATTGCATCGAAGGAAGGAATTATGCTTTTTGTTAAATTTCGCTGAGCGCTTTACTCCACTCCCTATGGATAGATTCTATTTTAAATATGGAAACGCAAAGATTTTAGTATTGAAATTATAGAAAGAGACATGTATTCCCTGATATTTTGTTGGTTGAAGTTATGAAATTTCTAGTGAATTATAAGATTGGAAATTCAAAAATAGCCAGATTTACAAGTGTTAATTGAAAAATAGCTACACTTTCAAAAGTAATCGAAATTTAGTCACTTTTCATGCAAAGATAAATCTGAACGAAAATATTGTTCAAAATTTAGAAAATATTCCAGCATAATATACTGGAGTTCCAGTATAATATACCGGTGCAACATAATATGCTGGAAGTTCATACACATGTGCACCAATGACCGGTCCGTGTTGCAGCAAAATAATGGCTATTTTTCAATGACTTTACAAATACTGGTTTTTTTTTAATTAGCAGTCTGAAAACTGGTTAGCCCGTGCTATTTTTACAATAATATACAGGTGTTTAGTTTCTTATCAATTGTTAATTCTTATATGAGCCAAAGAATGAACACTAAGTCATTGCTACAGTTAAAGCAAGAATGTGAAAACTAACAAATGAAAATAGTCTTGTATATATTTTGAAGAGGGCGAGGTCTTATATGCTATTTCAGGCATGCTAAAAATTGATTATTTGGAGTCAGTAAACCTTTTTATCTCAGTGCCGCGCAAGTTTACATATATTTATGTTTACCCGAAAAATGAATAGAGTTGAATTTATACGTAGTTTCGAGGATATGTGGCATAACTTAACACAAAATGTAAGGATAAATAGAAATGTAAATATAGATTGCAGAGAATGCGAAATAGATAAGGTTGTCAGGAACAATGAATCTTAGGATTCAACAAATAGAATCAATCTAAGAAATCTGAAAGAACGATTCTTTACTGTAAAAGAATATAGCGCTTTTATTACAATGCAAGCCTGAGAAAAAACTTGTTTTACAGAAATGGTAACCAAGCCCTTTTATAGTGGAGGGATTTGGCTCTAAACATAATAAAATAAATATTCAGTGGGAGACCCATGATAAGTCAGTTTTTCCATAATTTCTGCCAAGATTCTCTCTAGTGGGATTGCAACGGCTTTTGTCTGCGAGCTCGATCTTGCTTAGAACCCTCGATTTTGGTTTGAGCTTGATTTCGATTCGAGCTCTTGATCTTGGTTCGAGCCCGATCCTGGCTCGAGCTCTCGAATTGATTCGAGATCAATATTGGTTGGCCTCTGGATTATCAGCATGATAGATCTACTCTGCATCATGGTTCGATTTCGATTCGAGCTTGATAATGATATCGAACTCGACACGGATCGGCCTCCCCGGGTTCGAGGTTAGTTTGTTCCACCTTCAGGTTCTTACTTCGATAGATCATCGTTCCAACTCGATCGGACGTGTTAAGGCCGAAATCTATTTCGACCGTATACAGATAGTCCCCTCATTTCTCAGAAAGAATGTGGC